CTTGTTTCAAGAATCGCTGTGGTTTTGCTACGACGAATTCGTCATGAGCGGTGAATTTGAAGATCGACTCCGAGACGAACCTTCCTTCTTCGACAGCTTCCACTTCTCGTCGAAATAGAAGTTCGGCTGTGCGGTCGCAGTTGTAGCCAGCGCGGTAGCCATGGAATTGATTCTCAGGGTAAAAACGGAAAACAGACTTGAAGCAAAGAGAGAAAAACTTGAACAGAACAGAACAGAACAGAGGGGCATTGAGTTGTTGAGCTGAATTCACTGAAGAAGCTGGAGAGTGAGGGTGGGTTTGGGGTAATATTTGATTTAATTTTGCAGGAGTAGTAGTAGGTTTAGGGTTTTGAATTTGAAAAGGAAATGAAAAGAGAAACGAAGATAACTTGTGATTTTTGGGGAACTTGATTGAAACTGGAACAGAGAGAACAAAATTTTCATGTGGGCCCCACTAAAAAAAGAAACTGAGAAGATGACTATTTGATGTGTACAAAATGCCACGGTGTCAAAAATGTCATTGCTGGATTTACACGTCATTAAAAATTAAAAAAAGCCGGTGATTTTGTGGCATTTTAACGAGCCACCTGGCATTTAACTGACGGAAGGACCATTTTGGTACCAAAAATGAAAGTTCAAGGATAATTTTGGTACTTTTTAAAGTTGAGGGACAATTTTGGTGCCAAAGTGATAAGTTGAGGGACTAAAATGGTACTTAAACCTTTTAAATTAAATTTCACCCAAAAAAAAATTTTAAATTAAATAAAAATACCACCTCATAAAAAAATGGTCAACTGTGTTTTTTTTTTCCGTGTCATTAGTCAAGCAAAAAAAGAATTGATTTTGTGGCATTTTAACATGCCACTTGTCATTTAATTGACGGAAGGACCGTTTTGATACCGAAAATTAAAGTTTAAGGATAATTTTGATACTTTTTAAAGTTCAGGGACAATTTTGATGCCAAAGCAAAAAATTGAAGGACCAAAATGGTACTTAAACCATAAAAAAACACTAGTTTTCCTTTGTTTTGGGCGGACAAAAATGTGGAGAAGGGCAGATAAAAAAAAAAAAAAAAGCTCTAGATCCTTCTGCTTTCTGAACCTCCGATTTTCTGCCACCATCACCATCCCCACCTTGTTTCCATTCTCCTCGCACCATCACCGTCATCCATCTTCAATCCACCCCTAAAAATCTCATGTCCAGCACCCGGAGCCTTCCCGGTTTCTTCTCCAGGCATCAGGCTCTCGGCCTCCACTGGACCCGTGGCTTTCTTTCTCTCTCAATCATTCCGCCTTCAAAAAACCATTTTTATAAGCATACACCCCTAAAGAAAGAACCAGAGGATCTCCATTTTAATTTTTGAGCTGCTGTTTTTCTCCTTTTCTGGCCCGGGACAGAGATCCCTTCTTCGGAGAACAGACGGCGGGAGACCCCCCAAATAAAAAAGGAGAAGAAGGAAGCTCTCGATTCTTCTCCCTTCTGCAAAGAACACCGCCGGCAGCCACTTCCAGATCTGCTCGCATACCTCCGGTCATTGTCCACATCGCCTCACAGCAGCCACAGATTTCTGGTCGCTTCTCCACCTCACAGCAGCCGCACCTCATCTTCTCCGTCTCACAGCAGCCAGACAGCCCTGGGATCCTCCTTTCTCCTCTCAATCGCCAGTCTCGTCTCCTGTGGGTATTCTCTGAAACAGAGGAGTTTTTGGAGCAGTAGTGAGGGAATGATCGGGGCATTATCCCGTGGGGGGGTACCCTCGATCTGCCTCCGATCGGCCACCCAAAAGCTCCGCCAATTTGTCTTATTTTTTGGAATTTGTTGTTATTGATCGAGTGGAAATTATATGGATTGATATGAATACAATGAACATTTCATGCATTTGCTGGTTTGGGTGCTATTGCCTTTGTTGTTAAAATTGCAAAGAACCTGGTATTAGATCTGTTAATTTTCTCTTGTTCGGTTGCAGCTTTTTCTATTGAATTTATCCGAATAAAACCCTAAACTTTCTTTGTTTTAGAACAAACAAGTTTGATCTCTTTTTACCCATTTAGACCATCGGGTTATGTTTGTTGGTTGGGTTGACCGGACCCATTTAGATTAGAAGTTATGGACTGAAGTAGGTTTAAAAATGGATCAGGGCCCATTCGCCTTATGGGCTGGCTCAATAGGATAAAAATATAAAAACATAAAAAATAATTAAAATCTTAATTAACTGATTTAAAAGGTGATTAATTAGTTTATTTAATTTTAATTAAAATTAATTGATTATGGATTAATTAGCCTTAATTAAAGTAATTGGATTAATAAAAAATTAATTAGGGTGATTAATTATTTTAGTTAATTTTAATTAATTCATGATCATTAATCATTCAATTAAATCTATTATTTGATTAATTAGTTTTAATCCTTTTTAATTTAGTTAATCATGTGGTCAAAATTTTGAAAGTCAAACTCGTTTTCTTGGTTAAAACTTCATTTTGGTTTTCTATTTTGATAAAAAGTTATTTTTTAATTTTTTTTACTTAAAAAAACTTCATTCTAATCCCTAAAATTTGAAATTTAGACTCTTTTTGGTTCATTTGTTAAGTTTTTTATTTATCCTATAGTAAGTAATCTTAAAGACAATCCCAAAATAGAAGGGACTAATTTTTTTTTTTTTTTAAGTAGAGTAATCAAAACGGTTTTTTTTTTTTTTTTAAGTTGAAGGGCTTAAAAAAGCTAAAAAATAATTATTTTTGGTTCTTTTACTTTGAAATTTTGTCATTTAATGGATGTAGGCAAAACTTAATAGAGGAAAAAGGGATTTTTTTAAATAGAAGGATTAGAAAGAGGTTTTTTACCAAAGTAGGGGACCAAAATGGGGATTTAACCTCTTCTATTTAATTCTAATTTCCCATAAAACTTTTTGAGATTAAGTAATTCAGTCCAGAAGTTTTGAATCATTTCAAATTCGTCCTCCGAGTTTGAATTTCCTCAATACAATCACTCAACTTTTAATTTGTAGTGATTGTGACTGTTTCTTTTTTTGTAAAGTGTGCGTATGCCTTTCTTCACTTTTAATCGTATCTTTGGACCTTGATGTCTGTGTGAATCATGTTTTAGGTGACTTGTCTCACCTTATAATTTGGATGAATAGTAACTCATTCTTTTCACATTTTTTCACACTTAATTTTTTTTTTAATTTTTCTATATTTAAAATTTTGAGTAATCATCAACAAATATTATATTTCATTTGGTTAAAGTGGATATTTTCAAACCACGAGACCTACATATATCTGCATCTCATTCCACCTGGCAAGAGAGCAACCATACATTATCAATTTAATCAAACTATTAGTTGAGTTAGGTCTTTCCTATTTAATTGGATAGAAACTACTAGTACTATAAAGAAAATTGTAATTGTTTTTTTACAATAAAATAAATATGAAAACTAAAAAGAAAAAATCATATATATTAATTTTTTCCAAAAATCTTAGTGGGATATACCCTCTAGCCCTAATGATCCTCCATCATTTGTGTTTTCATGTGTTCCACCACATTTGTTATTTTCTCTTTTTTATTATTTTCTCTTCATTAAACTCAAAATCTTCAATATAAAAACTCAAGCTCTTCTTCCTTATTTCATACCATTTTAATCATTTTTTAGTATTTATGTTTTTGAAAATTACTTTCAATGAAAAAGAGAAAGATGAAGAAACTAAACATAATATAAAATATGAGAAAAAGTAAACATTAATTGAATTAAATTGTTTATTATCATTTTTATCTTTCAACTAATGGTTTCTATATTGCATTATTAACTATTATTTTTTGATAAAATATTATCAAACTACTACTAATTTTTGGTTAAAGACTAATAAATATTATTTACTTGTGGTTAAAACTCCAATTTAGTCCCTCTACTTTGATAAAAGGCTAATTTTTAGTCCATTTACTTAAGAAAGCCCTTTTTTTGTCTCTAAAGTTTGAAATCTAACTTCTTTTTGGTCCTTCCACTAAGTTTTTGTCTTGTAATACATTACCTTAACGGAAATCCCAAAATAAAGAGGACTAAAAAAGGGCTTTGTTTAAAAGTTGAAGGACTAAAAAAGGGCTAAAAATAGCCTCTATTTGGTTCCTCTACTTTGAAATTTTATCATCTAACATACCACATACACAAAACTTAATGAAGAGATTAAAAAAGTGTTGGATTTTAAACTTTAAGGATCAAAAAATGACTTTTTTAAGTAAAGGAACTAAAATGGATTTTTTATTGAAGTAGAGGGACTAAAATGGGGATCTAACCTTTACTTATTTATCTTCTTTTTTTCAAATTGACACACCAAATTATTTTTTTAGTCAAAATTTTATTTTGCCCCACTAAAAAAATTTCTTGGCTCCACCACTACTTGTATATCTAACTTATTTAATGATATCTAAAAATTTTATTGAAAAGATTAAATGTCAATTTTAATCCCTCAATTTTAGGATATTATATAATTTTCATCCCTCAATATCTATACACTTTTCCAAACACTCAACTCTAGAAATAGTTTTTCCATCAATTACTCTTTTTGTCTAAATATGTACATTTTTAATTGAAAGACTAAAAAAATGCACAAAATAATTGAGGGACTAAAATTGATATTTAACCATAAAAAAATATAGTTGTCATGTCATTACCCTAGATATACTCACACACATAAAAAAACCCGTAGGAAAAGGACTATACCTACACAATTTTACTTGGTATAGGTACATGTCATAACCTAATTTTTGTTCAGCCTATTTTAATATTTTTACAAAAATATATATAAAAGAAAGAAAAGGAGAAAAATCTTGATTTTTCTAAAAATATTAATTTCTTACGCATTCTTATGTTTTAAATGAAAATTTAAAAATTTTGAACTTTAATGTGGTGTGGAAAATTAACTTAGAAAATCTGTTAAAGAAAAATCGGGATTAAATTGAATTAATGGCCTTTTGTACCCAATTGAAAAAAATTTTAGATGAAAGTTCTACCTTGCAAGGATCCAATTGTGACAAGGAAGGAAGTTGAGGACCAAAAAGATAGGTGGATCGAAACACAAATCCAGCCCCTTCAAATATGTCGTCGTTTCACTCAAGCAGGGGATAAAATCGAGCTCGTCTACCTTCTAGTTCAACGCCGCCGTCAATGCTGTAAGCTGCGTGGCAAAGTTCTTCGCTGCTTAACCCTTTAATCCGATGATCAGCCTTGCCTTAATCAAAGACGAAGCTTCACGGAAGGTACCCTAGCCAAGTCTTGTGTGGGATTCGGGTATAAAAGGTAAAAATTTTAGGGTTTAGTGGGGGCCTTTTGAGATCTCAGATCTGAGATTTTTGCGGGGAGCATTCTGGAGGAGAACAGCGGACTAAAAAAGGAGGTCTTCCCAGAGAAAAAAGAAAAAAAAGGAGAAAGAAATCGATTGAGAGTGAAAGTGAGTTTTTTTTGGAGTCAGCTAGTGACATGTAATCGAACATCCAGAAGCTTGAATTGGAAGAAGATTTCATCTGTAATCCCACTTTCAGATTGCAATACAAAAAGGATTCTCGTTCAATTTCAGGTATTCTTTAGATTTTGTTTGGAATTATGCTTAAATTTGAGCTTGAAGGACCGACCCAACATTGGGTCTCCTCAAGTTTAGTTTTTTATCTAATTATATTCTATTTTAACCTATTTCTGGACCTAGAAATTCACGGTTGATGATTTGATTTGATGATATTAGTCTTTATATGGCATTTTCTTCCTTAATGGGTATTCGGATGGTGTTTGATTCCTTATTAAATTCATTAGTTGTCTGTTAGGGACCAACCCAACATTGGGTTTCCTTAATTTTGACTCCCTGTTTAGTCTTGCTCTACAGGGAATTTGAATTTGAGTGTGTGCTCTGTTGGGTTTGATATTGCTTTTTTTTTTTCTTGATGTTTATTTGCTTAATTGAGACTTGTTGCAGTGAGTTTTTCTGGGTCTTATTTTTGAAAATAGATTGAAACTGTTCTTGAGGATCATATGCCATATTCCAATTTTTGAATTGCTGTATTTTAATTTCCCATGCTTTGCATCTCTCTCTAGTCTTGGTCCTTCAAATTTTTGGATACATGTTTGGAATTTACTTTAATAGCATAATGTTTCTATTGAAACACTACAAAATCAGTTGGGCATTTTCGTGAACATTGTGTGCACAATGGATTAAGTGGCAAACTGAGGATCTATTTTTGCTAGGCCAATTCTTTTCATCTAGAACCAACCCGGCACATGTTCTTGACTAGGTCGTAGAGACCTTGATTTCCTCAAGTAATCTGCATGCTCAATATAGCTTTGGCCATCTCTCCCTTTTGATTCACATACTCAGGGTTTATCTACACCTTGATTCTTGGCATGCGCCTCATGTCTCTGAAGTTTTTGGTTAATTAAGTGTATGTTATGTTGCCTAGCAGGATAATTAGTTGAAAATGGTCGAATTATTGTTATGTTTCTCTATTTTGGGCATTGAGGTTTTGTTTAATCATAGAAGTTGGATGATTCCCTGATCTTGGATTCTAGAATGAGTTTCTTCAAATTGTTTCAGGCTGTGCCGATCCATATGAGAATTTTTTCATGGGATCTATTCATTTCAAAGATGTTGCCCTGGTATATATTCTGGTGTACGAGAATAAATCAACTAGTGGAACGCACTTGAGTGCTGAAGCTGTTACTCATTATGGAGATGGACAGGAATTCTTAGTGAACATAGAAGATGTTATGCTTGGACTAGAATTTTTAGTTGAAGTTTCTTGTAATAGGTAATTTTTTGTTTTTTTTTTATTATTTCTTTAATTATCCTTTTAGTTAATATAAATTTAATAAAGATCTGTCTGTTCGCTATTTTGTATTATTCCTTCTTGTAATGTTTGAAATAATTGTAGAGTACTTTTTTTACAACTTTTGTTGTTGTATATATTCATTTTAATTATTACCAAAGTTATTTTATGTCACTTTTAGCAATAATTATTATTGTTGTAAAATATTAGTTTTAGAAACAATTAAAGGTTATTATAAGATGTAATTTTTTGTAACAGTTTATGATATTAAGTAATATATTTAGCAACAAGAAATAATATCGCTAAAAGATGTTATTGTAACCACTTCATAAAATTTGTTGTGTTATAAAATTTTTAGCAATAATTGTCCTTATTGTAAAATATTAGTTTTAGAAATGGTTAATGTTGTTATGGGAAGAAACTTTTTTGCCACAATTTATGATGTTGTCTAATATATATCTGGCAACCATAAATATTTGTTGCAAAATATTTATTTTAGGAACAACTAAGATTGTTACAATATGTAATTTTTTGCAATAACTTATAGTGTTGTTTAATAATATATCTGGCAACCACAAATATTAGTATTAAAAGGTGATATAATAATTACTGTTTTATTATTGCCATTGGTCTTTCCCCTATGGTTCATATGCCTGAGTAATTTTTTTTTACCCATAGTTTTTTAAATGTGGGTTAAGGTTGTTAACGTTTTACTTATAATATGTAAAATTATAAAAATATGACTACAAATGTAGCTAGATATTATAGTTTATAGCACATATATTTATATTTTTTTATCTGTTAGTATAAGCCTTGAGGAGACAACACCTACAATTTTTTGGCATATTATTATGATTTTTGTCTGTTGTTATATGGTAAATTTGCTCTAGTGCCTTCTAAAGTATGATGTTGCAGGTGCAACCGATTCCTTATCAGTTATTTACCGTGAATTTATCCTGAAATCTGCAGCTGAGTTTAACTCTTTATAATGGGCAAACTAACAACGGGACGATACCGTGGAAGTGCCAGCCTTAGCCGACTGACCAGGCAGACGGATTTTGCATTGCAGAGCCGGCTGGTGATAAAATTTGCTGGGCAGCCAACAAAGTAATGCTGCTTCTGATGTGGAGTCAGTGTTCGACGTGACCCAATTGAACAGCCAGCAAAAGACAACCAGCCGTGGAGTTTTCCACACATCAATAGTAATTTATTTCTCGAACATGAGCTCTTACATTATCAATTACAATTACATGTCAATGTCATTCTTTTTTCTCTTTAATTAATTTATTAATTAGTACTCTCTCATTTATTCTTAGTAATTTTAATCTAATTTTTTAATTTATAAAATATAAATTTTAAATAAAAATTTAACAATTTATATATATAAT